CTGGGCTGGGCTAACTTTAACATCAGAAGGTTCAGCACATTCAGCGTCCAATCCATATTCTTGCAACATGGCGCTAGAACTGTTCTGACAAAATTGAATCAAATGGCTCTGAAGATCCAGAACCCAAGTAATTTTTAAGGTCAAATCATCCAACTGTCTTTGAACAACTGATCAGCACAGGCCTTGGCCAATTCATCAGCTTTACGGTTTCCTTCGCTTAGATCAAGGTTCTGGTTCTTACATCGACCGTGAGCGGCCACTTTAAGACAGTTGCTGCCCCAAGTCGGCGAGAAAAAGGCCAAAGGGGTTGGCCTTGACCTAAACGACCAAAAGCCACATACAGAACTGCCATCAATTGTGGTTGATCTACTTTTGCAACCTGGTGTCTTGCCGCACAAAACCTGGTCTTCGGTTCGTCGATCTGCAAAAGGGCATAATCAGCAGTATACTCGATGTCTCTTGGTAGGACTAGCTGCCGTCTGAAAGCTCAAAAAGCTTCGCCAATCCTTGTGAGACCACCACAGGATAATGCAATGATTCCTGCCTCTTTAGCAGTTGCAACCAAGCTCAAACGGGCCTGCCAAGGTAATGCCAGATGATGACAGGGAGGCTCTTGCCTCACCCATGCGTAGGCAAGATCCCCACCTGCTGGAGCAGGCGGCGCACTCGTGGACACCTCCGTTGATCGTTTCAGCGTAGTGGCCGTAAGGCCTTCCTGACAAAAAGAGTGACCTGCCATACCAGTCCAGCTGTAAGTTCAAAAACTCAATGTCAACTTCTGCAGTCCCAATCAAAGAGTCCAGCGCGAGTCCATCATCCTTCAACCACCTGTCAAAATCACCTGGCAATCTGTCTCGGTGAAGCTCTGTCCTACCCAGAACTGGTCTTCCCTCCGGCAGAGTCACGGATGACCTCAATTCAGCTCTTCGCTTGTCGCCAGTGTTTCTCGGAACAAGCGCAAGGCCATGGCTGACACTAGCTACAACCTGAACCTGTAGGGCAAATCCAACGAAAATCCACAACCTCGAATGCGGAACCTCCAGACAGAAATCCAACCTCGACAGTGACCGACCCACCACACAACAGTGAGGGAAATCTAAAGGCAAAATCCAAGACAGACATGGGGGAAAAGTCCAAGGCTTGAAATCCAACACGGCCCCTGCTGCACCCATACCATATCATCTTCTGGTTCTCCATCTTCTGCACGGTCTGTCGCCTCCGACATTGAGTCCTCACCTTCATCATCGGTTTAAGCTCTTTGGAAGTCCTCGTCATTGACATAGTTGTTCCAGCAGTAGTGAAGTGCCATCCACTCATCTGGCATGTCTGCTTCGTCCAATTTCTCTCGAGGGCCGGCACTAGATAACCATCGCCAAACCCGGGTTCAATACCCGGGTGCAACACTAGGTGGACAGGCGGGCCACCACTCCACCCCTGCAGTTAAGGGGATGAGCTAGGGTGTGGTCCGTAAAAAAATTCTCTCTCTCTCCAATCTCTCTCCAGGGCTGATCTTGCCGGCCTCGTCGTGCATCATGTAGCAACGTCTTCCCTTCAAAGTCCTCCCTGATACGCACTTCTGAACCACCAAGTTGAACTGCCCTTTGAATTTGCATCAGCTGCCCGATCTCCTGCCAAATCAACTTGCCCAGTGGCAAACGTCTCAAGTAGGAGAGCTTCTTCACCACTTAGTGTTCTACACCAACTGCATCTCCAAGGCTTTGCCACCTGTACTCACCGCAGGAATCTGGATCCAGATCGCGGTGGACCTCCATCGCCAAAACAACCGACCCATAGTCAGTCTCAAAGTCCTCTTCTTCTCTTTCTTCTTCTCATTTTTCTGGTTTGACTTCTACCTCCTCCATCAAATCATTGAACGCCTCGTTCGGTACATTTTCAGCACCGCAGCCACCTTCCAACTTCACGTCTGCTTAGTCGCACAGTTCAAGATTCCAGTCGCAGCTGTTGCTGGTCAAATCAGCTTCAACTTCAAATTGACGCTTCAACAGATTTGCCACAATGAAGGAGCCAAAACTAGACTCTCAGGGAAACAACTTTGGATTTTAAGGAGTCCACTTTCTGTGAAAGTCTAGTTTCCTAGGGCAAACAAAGTTCGGTCGTGCTATATTACTGATTGTGAAATTCAGTTCTGTTCACTTCCAATGTCTTGTGAAGAAACGCAAACGACCTTTCCTCAAACGCCGACTGAACAATTCCAAACTGCGTTGAGTCACAAAATCAGCCAGCTACAAAAACTTGATCTACGTCCAAAAGTTCTCAAATAATTCCAGTTCTCATTGAGCTGACGCATCAGCTTCGCTGAAGGTTTCCTTCATTTGGACTCTTCAGCAGACTCCCATCCAAATAATGTGTAAATTAATCCCTGCTCAATTGCACATGTAAGAATCCATTTTCACCAATACTATACTAGGCGCAGATGACACGGGACTTTGCGACCAATTTAGCCGAAGTTTTTTGGCACATGACATGGGATTTATGTATCGATTTTGCTATGGATTTTTTTTGCACATGACATGGGAGTTATGCGCCGACCTAACTGGCAAGTATTTTTCCATTTTATTGACAGATGACATGGGAATAAGTGATCAAATTTACACATGACATGGGACTTCCAGGAAGACACAGACGTCCAAGATGGGAAATGGCAGGTAAATTCCTTTAAATTCCTCTCAAAGCTTTTAAATTCTTTTCAATTCTTTTCAATTCCTTAAAACTCCGTAAAAGTCCTTTAAATTCCTTTAAATTCCTTCAAATTCTCTTAAATTCTCTTCAATTCCTTAAAACTCCGTAAAAGTCCTTTAAATTCCTTTAAATTCCTTCAAATTCTCTTAAATTCTTTTAAATTCCTTACAATTCTTTAAAATTGCTTTAAATTCATTCAAATTCCTTTACATTCCTCAAAAGACGAATTTACCACATGACATGGGACTTCCAATTCCTTTAAATTCTTTTAAATTCTTTTAAATTCTGTGAAATCTCTGTAAATTCCTTTAAATTCCCTTAAATTCCTTTAAATTCCTTGAGAAAGAGGAATTTACCACATTATATGGGACTTCCAATTCCTTAAAATTCTTTAAAATTCCTGCAATATCCTTCCAATTCTTTTACATTCCTTTAAATTCATTTTAATTCTTTTAAAATCTTTAAAAGTCCTTAAAATTCCTTCAAATCCCTTTAAATTCCTTAAAACACGAATTTGCCACATGACATGGAACTTCCAGTTCCTTAAAATTCCTTTAAATTCTTTGTAAATTCCTTTAAATTCTTTGACATTCCTTTAAATTCATTTAAATTCCACTAAATTCCTTTAAATTCCATGAACGATGAATTTACCACATGACATGGGACTTCCAATTCCTTAATTCCTTTAAATTCCCTTAAATTCCTTAAAAGACGAATTTACCACATGACATGGTATTTCCAATCCGTTTAAATTCTTTCAAATTCCTTACAATTCCTTTAAATTCATTAAAGTCCTTTATTTTTTTTGGCCGGCGCCCTTTGCCTTTCGGCGGGTCACCACTTGAGACTTACTCGCAGACCAGCGGGGAATCGAACCACCACCGGCAGTCTGTCGTCAAGAACGACGCCCTACCAACTGAGCCACGAGGACATCTAAAAAAAAACTCATTAAAGTCCTTTAAATTCCTTAAAAGACGAATTTATCACATGACATGGGACTTCCAATGCCTTAATTCCTTAAATTAGCTTAAATTCCTTTAAATTCCTGGAACGATGAATTTACCACATGACATGGGACTTCCAATTCCTTAAATTCCTTTAAATTCTTTAAAGTCCCTTTAATTTCATATTCCTTCAGACGAATTTACCACATGACATGGGACTTCCAATTCCTTTAAATTCTTTTAAATTCCTTAAATTACTTTAAATTCCTTTACATTCCTCAAAAGACGAATTTACCACGACATGGGACTTCCAATTCCTCTAAATTCTTTTAAATTCTGTGAAATCTCTGTAAATTCCTTTAAATTCCCTTAAATTCCTTTAAATTCCTTGAAAAAGAGGAATTTACCACATTATATGGGACTTCCAATTCCTTAAATTCCACTATTGGAAGAACCCTGCGCTCAGACGCTCTCAGGGAAAAGAAACGAGTGCAAAAGTTTCGCACGATCTGTGCAATTGAACAAGCTACCAACGACGTCCGCGCAAACATGCCAGTTGTCATTCTTGTATGATCTAATTATAAGATCTTATCCATTGACTTCTTCATTAACTTCTTCACACGGCGTGTCAAAGCTTCAGGGAGCGTCATGTTCGTGACATGCGAAAAGACAAAGCATCACAGAGAACCTAGCTCAAACAACCCAAAAACTGCTCACATGCAACCAACATAACCAACATGCGGAACGCCTCCCACGCAAACCGAAGGTGGATCGCCGTGAGTGCTACGCCTGCCACGCAAAGTGAGGTGGATGTCAATGGGTGCCACGCCGGCCACGGAAACGAAGGTGGGTGTCGCCAAGTGTCACATCTGCACGTCAGACGCTGCGGCGCCCACGGGAACTGGCCAGAGCCCGCCCAGTGTGTTCTTGCGGCATGAATTGCCTACATACTTCATGCGTGTCAAAGAATAAACGTGGCTCTCTACAGGCCTGACAGCAACTAGTGAAACTTGAGGCGTCTCATTTCTGGCTACTCAACGGCCTGCGCAGAAGCCAAGGCATGTGCCAAGACAGCTTCAGCTTCAAAGAGCAGCTGCCTCCTATAGCCACAGTTGCAGCATGGCTGGATTTCGGAATGTCCATTGCTCAGCAAATTCATTGACTTGGAGCCTCGCAAGCCACTGCGCCAACTTTCTTGCAGCCTGAACAGAATGCATCGACCCTTGCGGCTTCACAGTGCAGTCTACGGTTTGAAGCTATCTACAAATGCTCTTGCGGCATGAGTTGCCTACATACTTCATGCATGTCCATTCGACAATAAGCAATATATCATATAATATCACTTAATCGTTATGTCTACAATTTTCTATGGCATATGTCATTTGTTTGTACATAATACCCGTAAAAGGTCGCCACTTGAGATGTGCCAACTGCAGGCACCTGGACAGCTTTTGTTGTTTTCACTCGCTCAGTGCGCTCGGCCGTCATCGATCCGAGCAAGTTCTGCAAGTCCGACACCGAAAGTTGACGAGCTGCCTGAAGGAGGGATCAAGGGTATAGAGTGCTGGCGATATCTTATCAACATCTCAATATATGGTCAATATTTTTGGCTATATCTCAGAAAGCAAATACATGGTGCCTTCAACAGGCAAGAACAAAACCAGACTGCGCCTTGACCAACTTGGCCTTTCGCTTCTGCGCGGCCTTCATGTGTGCTTTGTTAGCTTTGAAGGCCTGACACACGCCAAGCAGGGAAAGGTTGCAGACTGGAAGCACCAAACGCCCATTCAACCCAAACACGAAGCTACCTCGCGCAGCTCTTGTCGTCGCTGCTTGAGCTCGGCAAGCTCAGCCTGCAGCACCTGCCCACACTTGCAATCACAGGCCATCACCGATCAATGATGGATAGCGCCGCTTAGACACAGAATATGCTTAAAGAATCCTAAAACAATGCACTCGCTGGCTCCCAAAAACTGGTTCCAAAATGACAGTGAAATTCAGATACGTCATGTATCTCCCCCCAGTATGCATTCCCAGCTGTTGCATCTTTTCACCTGATCAAGGCAGAGCTACTGCTACCATCAGTTCAAGGTTCGGATGTATGGAATTAAGCTGTCATCTGGAATCTTTGGACACTCATCCCATTGCAAGGCTTTCAATGTATGCGACGATATGCATTTCTGCTGCTTGATCACTCCAGTTCCTTCAAAAGCCCGCTGCCAATCTCGATGCGAAAGCACTGTCTCCACTGCAGTGGCCATCACCCAGAAGTGCCACTGCTGTGGAAAGTGAAGGTGGATGTCAGTGAGTGCCATGCCTGCCACGCTTTTGTGACCCAACCAATGGCGGCCATTTGTATGCATTAATTAGTCAATTACCGGTTCTTTGCAACATGCAACTGGACGTGTTGAACCTGGCGAAAGCCAAGAGGTGTTGGATGGAAAAAAAGAGTGCCATGCCTGCCACGCAGAGGGAAGAAAAACTGTTGGTCTCCGGCAGCCACCTCAAAGTCCTCTCAGACGTGCTTTTTCTAGCTTCTAGAAGGTAGGTCAACTTCGGAAGTTCTTGCAGTTGTCAAAAAAGCTTGGGCGTACATTCCTGAAGGCTAAGGAATCCAAGGACAAGTCTTAGCTGTGTCGTCAGACCCACGTGGTTCAGTGAGTTGCTTGCCTGCGGCTCACGAGGACCGTCGCAGTGCAACCAGCTTTTCAGGGGAGACAATAGCGAGGCCACGCAAAGTGAAGGTGGATGTCAGTGAGTGCCATGCCTTAGTCTTCCTGTTGAGTTGCTGACAGACTGCCAGTAGTTCGATTTCTCCGCTGATCCGCGAGTGAGACTTGAGACCGTAGACCCGCCGAAAGGCAGGAGTCGAAAAAAAAGTCGATGAGTGCCAGACAGATGTCGCTAAGTGTCACGCCTGCCGCTGCGGCGCCTACGGGAACGAGCTAAGCCACGAGAGTCTGCTCCACGAGAGTCTGCTCAGTGCCGTAAGTGCCACGCAAAGCGTGTTGTGCTTCAATTTCAGGTCGAGTCCGCAGCCATTTTGGCTCAAGTGAAGCCGACCGATGCCAATGGACTAGGTGGCACTGCAGTGAGTGGAACTGGCGCACTGGCGCTGCCCAGGGTCACTCCCTGCTAGCCTGCCCACATAGCTCGTTCTGGAGTTGGAATCTTCCGACGACTGCCCTACTCTGTTTCAGATCAGTCTGGTTTTCCACTAAAGACCTCCTACTGCATGCACTGGATGGTGGCGTTCCTAACGAAGTGTCTGAACAGTTTGATGTCACTTTTCGTTTCTTGACTCTTGAACATATGCAGCCCGCAGGTGTTGGACATTGGCAATTTCGCAGCACTGGATGGTGGCGTTCCTAACGAAGTGTCTGAACAGTTTGATGTTACTGTACAAGAAACAAATTGGGACGCACAGAGAGAAAAAGCATGTGTTAACACTTACGCTCATGCTAGTGCGTCGCAAATCTGCTTGCAAAACATCTGCGGGCAGCAGCAAAATTTTCCGATGGCTGGCCCCACTTTTGGGTCCAAATCTGGACCCCAAAACGGGGCCCAAGCAAAGACCTAAAAGAAGGAATGAAAATGTGATCCAATTCTGGACCCCATTTTGGGTCCATATTTGGACCCAAAAATGGGGTCAGCCATCGGAGAATTTCGCTGCTGCCCGCAAATGTTTTGCAAGCAGATTTGCGACCCAGCAACTTGAACATGAATGTCAACACATAACACATACCTTTTTCTCTTTGTGCGTCCCAAGGCCGCTTGCACTGTCGAGGTCCCTCTATCGCAGCCATGTTTTGAGCACTTTTTTCGGCCCTGTTTTAGGGGCCATGATGAAGCAGGTTTGTTGGCATTCGAGGCGCTCCGAGGCTCACCGAGGCCTGCCCGAGGCCAGGCCTCGGACGCAAAACGTAATGGCACGAGGACAAAGCGAGGCTCACGGGGACTCGAATCTATATAATACACGTCAAGACTGAATGATCTGAAACCAAAAAAAACGCTGGCGATGATCACCAGCCAAGATATCCATTGCTTTCATGAAAGCCTGCAGTCCAGAATGAGGACACATGCCCCGTGTGGGACCTTAACTTCAAAGCACATGCAGATTTTCGTCCCTCGATATGTTCCGTCTCTCTTGCGAAATAAAGAACATACCATGTAGCCGCCATGGCCTCACCTCCATGTGATCCTGCATTTTTTCTCCCGATAGTTTTTGCGCGGGCAACGCAGAACCCCCACACCCCCGGCGGCAATGCTGCTGTGGAACGCTGTAAAGAAGCATATGACAGCTTCAGTCCATCTCGCACTCACGCAGCATTGCCGCTGGGGAGCGGGGCGTATTCAACAGATCTCTTAAAGCGGCAGCCCCAATATTTCAAAAGCTTAAGCCCGTGGCAGGCGCAGAACTTTGGCAGCTAACAACCCCGTCGCAGGCACAATATTTCAGAAGCAAACATGGCCACATCACAGCTTAAACTCGTGGCAAGCGCAGCATTTCAGAAGTAAACAGCCACACATCTCAACCTGTGGCAAATATTGCAAACAAACATGACCACCTCACAACTTAAACCCTGACAACTGCGGTACTTGACAAACAAACATGGCCACCTCACAGCTTAACCTGGACAGCTTAAATGCTGGCAGGCGCAGTAATTCAGAAGCTAACATTGCCACTACACAGCGTAAACCCTGGCAGGGGCAGTTTTTGACAAGCAAACATGGCCACCTCACAGCTTAGCCCGTGGCAAGTATTTGACAAACAAACGTGGCCACCTCACAGCTTCAGCCGCGGCAGGGTTTAAGCTGTGGGGTGGCCATGTTTCCTTTTGAAATACTGCGCCTGCCAAGGTTTGTGCACAGAAACCTGCCGCGTAGTGCCACAACTCGCGGCACTACACGCTCACCCTCAGTGATTTTGGCGCGACGCAGAGCGCAAATACTGCGCCTGCCAGCAAAATCGGCACTAAACGCTTCGCACTGTGGTAAAACAGCGATTTTTAGATGCGACCGTTTGGGGATGTAGTACCCCACTAAACGCTCCGCGCTGTGGCGGAGACACATTTTCGCCGTTTTCTGGCGTTCGGTTGTAATTATTTTTTAAAGATCAATATAGTTTAGACAAAAGAGCCACTACACGCTACACGCTGGACCTGTTTTGCTGCTTTTTTCCACAGTAAAAGGCGTGTAGTGCCACAACTGTCGTACTAAACGCTCACCCTCTGCAGGTTCAGTCTCACACACGCCGTAAATACCGCACCTGCCACCAAAATCTGCACTAAACGCTGTCAGTTTTCACACCGTGACTGCCAGAAGTATTGCACATGCCAAGCAAATCAAACCCGCAGGGGCGACCAAAGTTAGCGCAAAACAGCGCGCTTTCTGCAAGACGGGAAAAAGGCATTTGCATCCTCCGTTGCACTCCGGTTCTCGACCATGCGAACTTGCAGCAAAACAAACAATCTTTCAGGATGAGCCTGGCGGCAGGCTTCAAAGCAGGCTTCGAGGCAGCCTCGAGGCTATAGAAATTGCAACAAAACAAAAAATGTCTTTCGAGGCAAGCCTCGACGGCTGAAATTGGAGCAAATGCACATGAATGTCCATATTTTTTAACAGGTTTCACCTTCAGTGAAAGGGCCGTTGCAACTTTACGCTTTACATGGGCCAATGTTCCTTCTTGTTGACCGTCTTGGCTTTTCGCTGTCCCCTCTCGGTCTATTCCCAAATTGTGTTCGTATCAGCAAAAAATACACTTTCTACTGTAGGCGCCAATCCACCAACCACATCCACGAATTGTGTCAACGACATCTGTCCAAAACAAACAGCCACCTGCACCAAATGCAAGCAACCAAAACAATCAGTCCACGCAGACAGGAGTCAAGAAATTCAGCAGCCCCAAACGAACGCCAACAAGACATTCAGCAGCCAAAGACTTCAGTGTTTGGCGACAAGCCTGCTTCATCATGGCCCCGAAAACAGGATCCAAAAAAGTAGAAACATTTTTTTCCCGAATGCGTAGCAAGGGTTCCCGTTTCACTCTGGGGGTCTGGGGGTTGAGAGTGTGTTCGCTCGACGTCGCGTCCGCGTCCGCAACCGTTCGCAACCGTTCGCAACCGTCCGCAACCGTTCGTACGAGGTCCGTATGGCCGTGCCTATGGGAAGTTTTGCAGAGGTGGTCATTTTTGGAGGTTTCAGACGTGTCGTTGCTTCGTTTCGCGTGGCAGGCGTGGCACTTCGTGACATTCAGACGTGTTTTGCAACGTGTTGAAAATCGTTTCGCGTGGCAGGTGCAATACTTTTGTGACGTTTTCAGAAGATGTGTTGCAGTTTTCGTGGCAGGCGCAGCACTTTGGACGTGTCCATTGTCATTTTTTGTGGCAGGCGCAGCACTTTAGACGTGTCCTGTTGCGTGTTTTTTGTAAATCGCATTGGCAGGGCTGCGTCAAGTGGCGACAAGGTGCAAATTCCGTGGCAGGCGTGGCATTTTGTGAGATGTGCTGAAAATTGACGGAAGCCTCGCACGAAACATCGATTTTGAGGTTGCAAATTTTCAGGTTCTAAGGAAAACTCGTAGGAAAACGTCGATTTTGAAGCTGCAAAGTGTCAAAATGGAGGAAGTCTCCCACGAAATGCTCGTTTTGGTGCTCCCACGTGTCTCGTCTCGAGTCTCTAGTTTTCCCGTGGCCTCGCCGTGTCTATGGGGGAAGCTGCAAAACTTGTCCTTTTGTCATGTTGCCAACTGTGAAAATTGCCGGAAGTCTCGTACGAAATGCTAGTTTTTCTGTATCCACGTGTCTTGTCTCGAGTCGCTGGTTGTCCTGTGGCGTCGCCGTGTCTGTGGGGGAAGCTGGAAAACCTCTCCCATTCGAATGTGTCCAAG